TATGCATGTACTGTATGTGTATATAGAAAATAATGGCATGAATTATTAGAGTAAGATGAAAAAGTAACAAGACAATATTTCCTTCTAAAAGTGAACAGTATTTACCAGCAACGAGCTCCAGTTTTTCGAGCTGTAAACTACACACAAGAAAATGTCCATCTCCCTTTAATAAACTTGATGCACCCAGAGTATCATTGTACGAGCCTTGAAAAAACATCACAGTTACGACTCAGATGAACCATCATAGTTACGACTCTAACTAACCATCACAGATACAACTCTGACTAACCATCATAGTTATGACTCTAACCATCACGGTTACGACTCTAACCTTCATAGTTACTTTTACTAACCCTTACGGTTACGACTTTGAGTAACCATCATAACTACGATTCTGACCAACCATCGTAATCATAATAGTTACGACTCTGACTTAACATCACGGTTACGACTCAGATTAACCGACATGGTTACAACTCTAACCCCCATAGTTACGGCTTTTATCAACCATTATGGTTACGACTCTGACTAACCATCACAGTTACGACTCTAACTAACCATCACATTTACTATTCTGACAAACTATCACAATTACTACTTTTCACGAACCATCAACAGTTACGAGCCCCTCCATGAATACGGCGTCCACGTTCTCTACGAGGACGTCGAAGAGACTCACGTGGCCGTCGAGGAGGTGAAAAGCATTTTGCGCTGCCAATTCGACTTCAGCGAAATCGACGAGCTTCTGCAGAAGAATCCACTCCTGCGCGAAGCTTGCAAGACGAACGACTTCTGCAAAGACGCGAACTACACAGCCGAGGTGTGTCGACGATCGAGTCTCCACGTGGCGAAGGTGAGGGAATGGAAGCGTCGTCGTTATGGCGAGTGACCGTTGTTTTTTCTCGTTGTTTTGATCTCTCTCTCTCTCTCTCTCTCTCTCTCTCTCTCTCTCTCTCTCTCTCTCTCTCTCTCTCTCTCTCTCTCTCTCTCTCTCTCTCTCTCTCTCTATCTATCTATCTCTCTCTCTGTGGAGTCATTTTCGTTGTCAACCATCACCGTAACGACCTTAGACTTACGTAGTTCCTTTCTTAAGTCCTTCTTTTCATTGTGTTTTGAGTTTTTGTTTCTACGGAGTCATTTTTCTGGTTAATTTTCAGCTGTTGGTCGTTTTCCTCTTTTTTTCGTTTTTTGTTCTATGGAATACTCGTTGTTTGCTTTACTGAAGTTACTACCTCGCTTGACCGGATCTCTTTTGTTTCTGGTACTTGGTTCTAAGGAATTATCTTAAATATTATTTGTTATATTAGTTTCTTAATGCCACAGTCGATCGAACTGTTTTTCCTCTTTTTTTGAGGTTATTTGGAGTTGTTGTCATTGCTAGTTTTGTTAATTATACGTCTTGTAATTTCTTGTTTCTGTGGGATGATCTTCCTTATTTTTATCAGCTCTGTTTTTGTCACGTTTGGTCGGTTTTCCTTCGCGTTTCTAGATCATCTTGGTTCTGTGATGTAGGCCTATCCGTTGTTAGTGTTAGTAAGTCGTTACTCTTTTTTTTTTTTTTTTTTTTTTGTTTTGTGTGGAAAAAAAACGTTGTTACTGTTAGCATTGTGTCTGACGCCTTCGATCGCTTCTCAATTGTGGTTCTTGAAGAGTTATGGTGGATTTCCAGAGCACTTTTGTATGGCTGAAATGAAGAATAAATTTGCGTCATCATTCATGTTCTTGCTCTCGCATATGCTATTATTGTCGACGATATTGTTCCTTTATTCTCAATATCATCTTTAGGTTCCCACCATAAGGCTAAACTATAACCAGACAAATGAATTATCTAATAAAAAAATGGAGAAAAAAGAAGCTAATAAAAAAGGAAATGGAGAAAAAAAGACCCATTTCTATCCACGTGTCTTTCACGACCTCTGCTGCAGGTGCTCCGCTTGGGACTCCAGTGGGCGCGACCTTTGCTGGAGATGGAGGACGTCGAGGTCAAGCTGATCTACTTGGTTCGGGATCCTCGAGCAGTCCTCAGGTTAGGTCTTCTCTGCCTGTGTTGGTTTCCTTTTTAAATTTTTCTTTCTGTCTGTCTGTCTGTCTGTCTCTCTCTCTCTCTCTCTCTCTCTCTCTCTCTCTCTCTCTCTCTCTCTCTCTCTCTCTCTCTCTCTCTCTCTCTCTCTCAAAGTGTGTTGTGTGTGGAACGGTGGGTTCGTTTGATGGGTGGGTGGAGAGATAGAGAGTGGGTTGGTAGAGTACGAGAGAGAGAGAGAGAGAGAGAGAGAGAGAGAGAGAGAGAGAGAGAGAGAGAGAGAGAGAGAGAGAGAGAGAGAGAGAGAGAGAGAGAGAGAGAGAGAGAGAGAGAGAGACGGGAATTATAGAGAAAGGGAGGAGACATGGAGAGAGAGAGAGATAGGAATAATAGAGAAAGGGAGGAGAGATTGAGAGAGGGAGGAGAGAAACAGAAAGTACACATAACGGAAATTGCAAGATAAAACACACCCACACGCAAATCTCTCACAATAATTAACAGCCAACGAGCAACTGAAAGCCTAATCTTCCAATCCCCAATCAGTTCACGATCGAGAGTCGCCTGGTGTTCCACCCCCTCGTGCAAGGACGTGAAGACCGTCTGTTCCTTGTTGGAGGATGACCTGTTCGAAGCCTCCCTCCTTCAAGAGGATTTCCCTAAGAGGTATGCTCTTGGTGGATGGTCAGTGGAAGCGTAACTTATTTAACACAGGCATTGCAACATCGGCGTGGGAAGTATTGCTGTTATTTTGTCCTTCTGGTATACCTTGTATGATGTAGCATATTTGTTCTTCGGGATATTTTGTACCCGTGATATTTTATTTTATTACGCTTTTAAGTTTTTTTTACCTATTTTGTTTTGCTTTTTTATATGTTCCATGTTCCTTTATTTTCCCAGCGTTCTTACTCTTTCAATTACTTCTATTAACTTTCCACATACAACTCAAGAAGACCTCGCTGTGAATATGATAAGCAAGCCTATTTAAAACGCACTTAGATCAGCTGATATCTCCTCACTCACTTGGCTTGTGTGTGTGTCTTAATCCCACTCCCCTCCTTCCTTCCCTCAGGTTCCACTTCATCCTCTACGACCAGTTCTGCCAGACTCCCTTCGCCGCCCTGCAGGACCTCATGACCTTCCTCGGCCTCCCCGTGACCAAAGACCAAAGGAAGCTCCTCCAGTCCAAGCTGCCGTCCACCGACCCCTTGTCCATCTACAAG